TTTTCGGTGGCTTTCCGACGGACTTTTTTCAAGCGGCTTTCTAAGATATTTCCGGCATAATATGTCCTACTAATTTTTCTACAAATTTTCCGACGGCTTTTGTTCCGGTGGCTTCACCGTCGGATTTTAGTTCTTATATTTTAAATAAAAAATGTGACATTTAAACATTTTTTTCCTTCCAGCAAACTGATTGGGTTTCTAGCGCATGTGAGTAGCGTGGGCGGGCAACCACGGGGGCAACGTGAGAGGCAGTCGGGCAGGCAGGGTAGCGGTCAGCTTGGTGGGCACCGCGGGAGGATAGCAGGCAGCCTGGTTTTTTTAGTTTTTTTTTTTTTAAATTGTCGGCGGCATTATTTCACTGGAAAGCCGCCGGAAAAATTTGTCGGAGAAAATTAGCCACCAGTTGTCGTTTCCTACGCAGCTTTTACCGGTGGAAAAATATTCGCCGGAAATCTTAATTTCCACCATAAATTTGCCAATTTTTGCCAGAAAAATCCGCTAGTAATAGACGATTTTTCTGTAGTGTAGTCGAGCACGAGCGGTTCGGGAACATGTAGTCTGCTTGAAAGTTATATATATATTATAGAATATACCAAGCAAACTTTCATGGCCATCTTTGCTTGAGAATGACTTACAGCCTCTTATCCATAGTAAAATGCAAAATAACATCCAAAGATGGTTTCAATGCATGACTGAGCTTAGTTTGGGAGCATCAGCTACTATCATAAAAATGCAGAAAATAACCATTTCAGACAGGCAGGATTACATACTGCTATTCTTTGTTTCTTCAATGTTGAATGTTGTAGGGAGAAAGAATACTGTTAGATGTGCTGTATTGCTTCATTTATCACCTATTTGTATCAGTTAAATAATTTTCTGCAATAGAAAGAAATTCACTGAGCTAATTTCATCAGTGAATCTGTGACTCTAGAAGTGTTTATTCATGTGATTGTATTTATAATAACTGGCTTTCTTTTGTCAAAGGATGTATAGACAAAAGCTTAGGTACAACTGTTGCATAAGAAAACATTTCATATGTGGCTCAGGCTTTGTTTGGGATAACTTTCTTATTGCTTCTTAGAACTTTAAGAAGCAAGAAGAATGATATTCCAAACGAAGCCTCGGTCTCTTGTTCTACTTTTAAGATCGAGCATACTTTAATCAATCATTGATGAGAATTTTGATCATGTCGAATGTGATTATCCACTTTAAAAGAGATTTGAGATTCATTTAGATCAAAATATTGATTAGAATATAATTATAATGAGACAATTCTTAAATTATAGTTAGGATTAATCTTTAATCTCTATGTTTTTGAATTTCTATTTGTAAAATCTTTAATCTTTATGTTATAGAAATAAAATGATAATCTTGTTGAGGAATAACTCAAAAATTATGACTTCATTAATTTGGAGTCAATTTTACTTTATTTTCAACTATTATTTAGAATTAACATTTACAATAAGTGTGCAATACTAATCTTACAACCTTCTCATAAAGTATACTTAGGAGAGTTTTATAGTGTATTTAAATTTATTTGATTGGCATGATTCTCAAAATAATATCTAAATTAAAAACTAATAAAATTAAATTTAGGACTATAATAACTCTTAACTTCATTGAACTTATAGTTGAGATGAACATAGATGAGACAAAGTTATAAACATCATAAGTGATATGATTTGAGCTCAAGTAACTCAAATTAAGTACTTGAAACACATTTGAGAGGTCAAAACATTAATTGAAGAAACAAAAGATCTCCAAATCTTATGTGATTAGAGTCTAATCAAGCGGCTCAACAAGACAAATCCTTGAGTTTCCCTCACCCACGTCAAAAAAATGGCCTGGTCAAGCACAAATATTAGCGCGTCATCAAAAACACATATGCCCTACTTCAACAAACCAATCTACCATATCACTTATGGGTTGATGCTTTACTCAATGTTGTATACTTTTAAACAAGATAGTCCACATCAACTCAAATGAAATCACCTTCTCATCTACTCTACAAAAGACCACCACAATATAACCATTCAAAACATTTGATTTTGCAGGTTTTTCTTGGCTTAAACCTCGATCATCTCTCAAAGTAGCCACAAGCTGTAATAATCCAATTCGTTATAAATGATTTTTTGAATGATGAAAAATCTGAATTTCAGCATTGTGTCTTGTCGAAGAAGAGAGAGGAAAGAGAGATAATGTTGTTCGGTGCTTTTTGATCCGTCAATTTTATTTAGAGATTTTTTATATTTGTTGTAAGTCATCAAATATTATTTTAATTTTCATTAATTTTGATTATTATATAAATTTTTTATATTGAACAGAATTTATTATTTTCTAATATATTTTTATTATGGCATTTGCGTAAGCAATAAAGGCTAACTGTTAACACTATAAAATGAGTTGGCTGTTAAAACATAATATCATGATTCCTGAGCATGAGCGTGGGCTGACAGACTTTTCATTAAAGATAGTTTGTGGTGCTATCCCGATTTTAGCCTATAATAGATTACCTATTACGTCGACGGGCAGAAAGACGTGTCTGTTCACTTGATAATCGATCCACATCATCAAGCGCCATGACAGAGAAAATATTTCAACACCGAGACGCTAGTTCACTTTTGAGCGCAGAACACCACATTTTCAAGTGCTACAGTGCCAGATACTTTTTATGTGTTTTTCTATAAATAGGTATTTTATTCTGTTTATAGAAGAGTTCAATCACTTATGTAAAACTTAGTACTTTTCAGTATACTTCTCTAGTATCCTCTTAGAGTAAAATTTAAGAGAGGCTACAAATGTATATAATACAATTTTATTAGAGTGTTTAGCAAGTCTTAATACTAGATACTTTAATACAATTTGTTGAAGCAAGTCTTAAGTGAAGGAAAAAGGTCTATAAAGAAGATACTTTAATCCTATTTGTTGATAAAATTTCAATTCTTCTCTTGTACTTTGATTCTTTTATGAATACAATAGAAATGAGTTTGTTTGTCATTTATTCTATATATGGCTAGATCTCTTAATTTGGATTGGTAATATAAAGAACATATTAAGTACAAATTAATGAAGACTCTTATATTTTAAGATTTTAATGATATATTCTTAATTATATCTCATTTTTTATTTAAATTACATAGTGGTCATGTTTGTAATTAAAACTTAGAGTGATGTATAGCCTCGACGGAGGAATGCAAGAACAATCAAGAATATTGACATGCCTAGACATATGATGCTTAAATATTCTAGATTTTAAATGAGATATTATAACTGTAGGAGATCAACATATATTATTTTCACACCTACAAATTTGATAGAGATCTAGAGATGCTTATGCTTTGAATTAGATCTATAATTAAGAGTATCATTATAAAAATATGATATTTGCATTCATCAATCTAAAAAATTTTATTAAATATTGTATCAACTAGTTTTAAGAGTCTCATTATGAAAAATATGATATTCTACTATTTTTATTCAGTGATTGAAACTCTAAAAATATTATTTTTATTCCAACAGGATAACTTATGCATTTAGAATAAGTAATAATAGTTTTATTGCAATTAAGCATAATACTTCTTCGTGGGTTCGACACTTTATTTCATCATGTTATTCTTTGATTCAACACGTATACTTGTTTACATTTAAGTGAGGCTTTTATTATTGACATATTAAATAAACTCTAAGCATTACTCGGCATTGGTAGAACAAGTACTTATTATTATTAAGACTTTAATCATACTACGATACTATTTTTCAAATTCATATTATTTTATATTCAATAAAAAATGCACAAATTCAAAATACAGGTGATTTTTTTTTTTAAATACTCAAAAGATTCATAATCATCATATCTATAACGTATAAATAGTTACGTGGTGCAAGTTCTATCAATATAATGTGATCTTCATTTTTAGTTAGCAAAAAAATCAATTTAATAAAAAAAAATTAAAACATCAAATTATTGAAAACTGTTATAGGCAAACTGTAATCTATCTCGAGGTGAATAACTTTCCCAACTGACCTTATGACCAAAAATTGCCAGAAACAGCTCAAAATCCCTCTTTCTCTCTCTATAAAGAGTTGTTAGTGGCCTAGCGCTCTGACGCTAGTTCAAAATCTCAAATTCCAGAATTGAGAGAGCTAAACTACACTTTTTAGCGCCTGGGCGCTATGTGGCGCTCGTACACCTAACATTGGGGCGCTCATGCCAGAATTCACACTAAACCTTTGGGATTCATTCTAGAATACATACAATCACTTTTATACATAAAAATACTCCCAAAGAAATACAAATGAATTTGAAACATAAAATTTTTAATCTTTACCTTTTTTAAATCGAGTCGAATGGATCTGAAGCATACTCTGACCTTAGAGATCTCACATGACATACTTCATTATTACAAAATATCAATACATCATATATTACACAAAAAGGTCTGATATTTCAAAGAATCTCTAACGGTAACCATAAAAGACAAGTATAAAAAATATTACATTATAAAAATTAAAAATATGCATGAAAAGTATTGATATAAAAATTGATTCATTTCAATTGCTTATAAAATTAAAAAAGATATATATTTAAATTTATTAAATTTCATGAACTCAAATGAAAAAAATAATAATAACATGATATTATTATTTATAAACTTGGAGTTGGAAAATTTAATTCTTTTATCAAAAAAATGTATAATATATATATATATATA